TGATGAGAAACTATACTAATAAGATACATGCATCTTATTAGTCTTCTGACTAGTAACATTCTAATAACTATACTTATTACTATACTTATTACACTAATAAGATGACATCTTATTACCAGTTATTAGAAATTATTAGTAATAAGTAATAACTATCTTACTAGTCTGATGTTATTAGTCCCAACTGTAAACACGTTCGTTCGTAGTGGCCATCTTTACGAACGCGAACGAACATGAAAAACAATTTCTACTCTGCGAACGAACGCGTTCGAACATAGTAGCCTTCTTTACGAACGTTAACCAACACGAATATAAAGGATCGAGTACTATCTGTCAAAATATTTCCCCCTTTGCCAAGCGAAATTAATTCGATATACGTGAATGAGAAAAATATCAATCCTAAGGTAATTTTGCATGCTGATTCTGAATTTCGGGGTTTCAGGTCAAAAAAATTACACCTTGAGGGTATTTGATCCCCGACCCCCTTAAGGGGTGACGCACGGTGCAAATGCCCCGGGTGAACGGTACAATTTGAGTGCTTGGGAGTAATTGCACTGCTGTGCATTTTCTTACACAATTGAAAATAAATGCAGTAAAGTTGGGATGAACGAATAATTTCATAAGCCAGCAAACCAGTTCGGTGAAGGAAGAAATTTGGGAACAGCGCGGAAAAGTTGGACTTACGGATGTAAGTTCCTATTTATTGATATTTTGGCATAAAAGGTACAGCATCAACTGGATATTCTATTGACATAGTTGCAAAGCAGAAAAATATCGCCCATCTCTCCGTTTACTTTGGAATTTCAAAACTCATAGCCATGAGCAATAAATCTTAGCGAGAGTATCGCGTTGAAATTCACAGCTTTTCGCTGTCACAAAGGATGAACACATTTTACACAGTGCAAAAGAAGGTAGCCGTATACTAGTTCAAATACAAAGTAATGAAAATGATTGCTTCACAGTTGGTGAACCGAATGCGAGAAAGAGAATCAAACTCATTTTATTATCGTTTTCAATGCGACAATCAAATTGTATGAAAATTGCTTAGCAATCAAAATGATCTTCCCATTCAATTGGTGTCGGAATATATTTCACCATCATAAACCCAATTCATACAGAGATGAACTGGCGCTTGCCAAACCAGCGGGATAGTAATAATATCAGCGATTTTATTTGTCAAAGTGTTCTATTACATTTTCAATATCATGCAGCCATTGTGACGCGTTTAAAACATCTAATTTCTATAAATAAAACGTAATGTACTCGAAACGAAGTGCAAACGCGATTCAACTGAGTCGCAAAAAAACGTGATGCTGATAATGACAATCATAAAAAATCACTTGGTTGTTGTGATGCAATAAATAATAAGGTTTTTATCGCTTTAATATTTGAAAGCATGCCGACTCCCGCATGCCGTTTTAGCAATATTAACAGATACTTAACCGTAATTTTTTTTACACGCGTGTATCTTAACATTTTCATTCATTGGAATAAATGGCAAACTCACATAATTAGCTGTATGGGAACCAAAGGTGACAGAATTTATGGCGAAATTTGAACAGGATCCATTCCACCATGCATACATAAACAACACTTTTACGCTCGTTGGAGAACATTTTAAAGAGATTTTCCGCAAACATTTTTCGACAAAATGAGTTTTAAATTTCCACTTAAAAAGCTCTTTAAATTAAAACAAAACTAGGCCATTTGAAACATGTATCAAGTAATTTGATGTATAAAAAAACCAGGGATTGTTCCTCTGAGGAGGAGGAATGGTGAGGTGGAAAATGAGGAGGAGGAGGAGAGCGAGGAGGATCCTCCTCCTCAACTGAGGAGGAAAAGTTTTTTTTGCTCAAAGGGCTATTTTTATCACAAAAATCTCATTTTTAGCTAAAAACATTTTCCTCCTCACCATTCCTCCTCCTCAGAGGAACAATCCCTGAAAAAAAACGCTATACATTGTGCCCCATTCAATTTCTTTCTTTTCTCACTTCAATCACAATTGTATCAAAATCTAAATAACATTTTATGGTTTTTTTATATTCCGTAAATGAGACTGGATAATTACTTTGTTGGCTTCCCAAGCGTAGCACACAATCGAATAAAAACCATTCGATAAACATTGTTGAATTTGAACTAGACCTTGGCATCAATCCAAACACCTGTTCCGCTTCACATATACATAAATAAACGTCGACTTATTTGCTGCCCTCTGAACCAGCAACAAATGCGATGGAAAGAAGCCACTGAAATATTTACGTGTGCAATGCACCAACCAAAACCATTCCATTTGCCGATTGTCTTGAGTTTTTGTGATTGTTGCCTGAATTAATGCCAATAGCATTTTGAAGCGAAAATATTCAAAAACGCAACTTTATCGTTTAAAAAAACGACTTTTTCCGATAAATACATTTACCGAATTTACAATTCATTTTGAAAAGAATGTCAAGAAAAGATGTGGCAATATGGAATAAATGGAAAAGCGGAATATATTTTCAATGATTTTTGTTATCGATTTCAGTCAAATACAATTTTATCCAATTAAATGTTGTTTGCCCTTGTTTTCTTTGCTGTTCAAGCACATTTAAAATGTCTGGTTCAAAGCAGAATTGTGAGAAATGAGAAAATGATAAGCATTTTTGATCGCCGGTTTATTTGCTCGTCGTAAACAAATGACCCCATCAGAGAAAAAACACAATCTTCTTAAGCCTGCGAGAAAATTCCCAATTGCTTAATTATTCTAATATTTATCGTAGCTAGATAAATACACCTCTGGGTGCATACACTTTATTTCGAGTATATTTATGTTTATACGAATCTAAACGATGTACGATCTAACTTTTTTTCTCTTGTTTTCGAATGCCTCATCATACCCAGCTCATTTGCTATTTTTGCAAACCCACATAGCTTACATGCTTCGTGATTTTACTTATTTTTCGCTTAACACAAGAACAATTGAACAACATACCAAGAGTACAATCAACATGAGCGGAAAAAACACACAAGTAACACTGTCAAATCAACCGTGGTTAAAAGTCTGAACTCAGCAAAACAAGACTCATTTTCATTCACAATTTTCGGTTCGTCGGACGATTTTGCTCCAATTTATGTGCGAGCGATGCATTTGTGCAAATTGTTTCATTATCGTGAGCAAAATAATGATTTTTTTGCTTTTTTCTTCGGTTTTTGTATTGGTAAATTATCCGCATCTATGTTGCGACCCCCTTCGGTGCGATAAATCAATCCATTTAAGTGTATAATCTACTGGTCAAGCAATGCACTGAGTGAACAATTTACTCATAGTAAACTAAAAATCCTAACTTGCTTTGAATATAATGTAGAAATCATTTATCACGGAATCGTTGTATCGTAAACGAGTGTGCAAACATTGCAAATACACTGTTGATGTGAACCACAGCCCAGACAAAATACCATTTTCGAAGTTTTTTTTCGCTTCTCTTTATCATTTTCTTCGGTAGATCTATTTGTATTTAGATTGGAAATGCAAACAAATGAGTTTTTTTACGTTTTGATTAGATTTTCTTTTATTGTCTGTTGTGGTAAGCACCGAAAGGGAAAACAAACGTTAAAAAACGTTGAATTGGCACACAGTTTTAAACGAATTGATGGAATTTTATATTCGTTTTTTCTTCACGATCGATTTCAATATTGAACGCTTTCATACGTATACATGATTCGGAAGCGTGTGTGTGTGTGTGCACCAGATTTTTGAATACGGGCTCTATTAGTCAAAGCGCCATACGCATTCTCATTTCGATTTTCGATTCGTCGAATTCAAGCAATATGGCACACAAGCAACGATTTCCAACGACTTATTGCTGTCACTTTAAATAAACGTATCACACGAATCTTGATTCACAATGCACGGTTTTTGTTCTGCATGCAAAATTATTCGGAAAAAGCGAATGAATTTTTTTCTATCTCTTAAAATGTTTTTTGCTCTCGAGTAAATTCATTCCGGCTGGAGGAAATGCAAAGAAATTTGGTGGAGATTTTGTGAGCGCAGTTCGGATATATACTTTCAAATATTTTAAATAATACAATGGCTTTGATACGGTTCACTGGAGATCAGTGGAGCAGAAAGAGCTGAATAGCCAAACAATTTACATAAA